TGTTATCAAAGAATCAATGCGTCTGCTCTCTCCAGTTCCATTCATTGCACGAAAACCATCGGCCGACATTCGATTGCGTAAAGGAACTGTTCCGCAAGGCTCAATAGTAATGATAAATATCATGCATTTGCACCGGGATCCAAAAATTTGGGGAGAAAATGTGTTTGAATTTAACCCAGACAGATTTCTACCCGAAAATGTTGCGAAACGACCATCGTTCAGCTACATTCCATTCTCAGGTGGAGCAAGAAATTGCATTGGAATGAAATACGCTATGATTTCGGCCAAAATTACTCTGACTCATCTGTTAAGGCGATTCAAGTTCACTACCAATTTAAAATTTGAAGATATTCGTGTGAAAACTCATCTTGTGCTTGAAGTGACTAACAAAAAGCCGCTTCAAATAGAACAACGACAATTCTAGAAAAAATAATCAAATATTTGCGAAATAAAAATGGATTGGATGAAATCGTTTTCGATCATTGTTTGTATTGCTATTTTGAAAAAGAGGAAATTTTTTCGTAAAGTTATTCAAGCGAAGAACTTATTCAGAAAATGCTCGACTTTGCCCAAGAGTGGATTTTGAACCGTTTTTGATCTAATTCGCTCTGTTACTTTAATAGGTAAGAACATAAATCGTTCATGCATGGACATTGTAGATCACATTCAGAATCTATTCTTGATAATATTTTGCGACTGAATTTCATTTGACTGATGTGTACTCCCTTCAAAGAGTCCACCTTAAATCACTTCAATCCCATCGAAAAATGCTCGCCAATTTGGATCTGCTTAAACGAACAGTTCAATAGGTTAATTTTACGTTTTTTTTTCCTATGCAATCGAAGTGTTCTATTCAGGTAGGTATCATCATGCAAATGAAATTAATTCAAATTCATTTGAATAAAACATGAAGTTAAGCCTTAGATTGAAAATGCAACGGACAGCGCCTGAATATATTCAAATTCTTTCAACAAACGATGACGTAAGAACAAATATTCACAATCGCATTGCAAATCTTTCAACATTTCTATTGCTATGGGCAGAGGGAATGAGAAGTCGCATCATCGTGACATGCATAATAATTTCGTTGAAAATTTGCAATAAATTTCCCAATAATAAAAAGATATGATTCACAACAGGCTTGACATCACTCATTAAAGAGCATGAACGAAATTAAAATTAAAAAGAGAAAGGGAAAACACGCGATATAATTAAAAGAAAATTGGGTTTTAATGACAAATAATTCTATGTTTATGGTGATTATTGGCAGATGTTGTGTCGCATCGTTCAGGTTCAGTTGTTCGGCCAAGGTGATGAAGATCAGTGATTGAATACCTTGGATATCACATTATTAGAAGATTCTCCGTTGTTTAACTGCACTTTAGTCTGGAAATTTTATTTTATTTATTCGAAGAAATACGATTGATAGATCAAAGTATGCTTCTCACGTGACGTGACACTAGCATGTTAAGCACATTCAGTTTGTTAACTATTGTTATGGTATTCATATCTAATCGTATTGTAATTATTTTATTTTTTCGCAATCTTCAATGCTTATAAGCAATCTATAGATGCATCTAGTTGACTTTCATTGAATCAGTTATCGTTGAGCAGTGGCAAAAGTAAGTGCGAGTTAGATTCTCTTCCAGATCTACCACCGTGTAAATTCAACTCCAGAATGAATTTAGTAATTATATTAGTGTTGATGTTAACCATTTTGGTTTTATACGGAGAAATACGAAAATGGATTATCAAAAGGAAGCTGGGAAGTTTTGAATCACCGAAGCAAATACCGATTCTTGGTGTCGCTGGCCGTTTTATCGGAAAATCAAACGATCAAATCATCGATATAGTACTTAAAATCATTAAAGAAGCTAAATCGACACCAGTGCATGCGTGGTTTGGGCCCATTTTAGCCATTGGAATTTGTGAGCCGGAAGATGTTCAAATCATATTATCAAGTGATGGATGCTTAAACAGGCCATACTTTTACGACCATTTTCACTACAAACTGTCCATTATTGCGACGGACAAAGAGATTTGGAAACCGCATCGTTGTGCATTAAACTCAGCATTCAATATGAAAGCGTTACAAAGTTACATACCGCATTTGAACGATAAATCGCGAATTTTGCTCAAGCAAATGGAACCATTTCTGGAAGAACGCGGTGATTTGTATCGAACGATTTTTATTTGTATGATGGATATGATTGCAAGAACAACAATGGGCTCTGAGTTAAATTTACAAATAAAAGAACGAGGCGAATCCTTGTATAGAACCGTCAAAATAATCATGAATAGCGTGCAATACCGCGTTGTTCGATTTTGGCTAAGATCGGATTTCATTTATAATTGGTCGAAAGTGGGTCGTGATGAAAAACTTCCACTTCAAACTGGCAATAGCCTCATCGAAGAAATGTATAACAACAAAGTAGATGAATTAAACTTGCTGAAATCGCAGGGAATCGATTTTTTAGAACAAGTTAAATCCGAAAATTCGGCAAATTTCCTTGAAAAATGTCTCATTTTAGAACGAGATGGTGTATTCAACCATGAAACGGTTTTGGACCAGTTAAGCGCAATAGCTCTTGGTGGTTTCGATACGTCAACGAGCACTGCATTTAGTACCTTATTAATGTTGGCTATGAATCAGAAGCATCAGGGCACGGTGTTAGAGGAGCTACGATCGGTTTTTGAAACGGCCGACTGTGATGTGACTCAAACTCATTTGGCTGGTATGCCATACATGGAACGTGTCATTCGGGAAACGATGAGATTACTTCCTCCAACGCCACTCATTGCACGACAATCGTCTGCCGACATCAAACTACCCAGAGGAACCGTTCCGAAAGATGCATTTGTTGTCATTAATATCATGCAATTGCATCGGAATCCTAGAATTTGGGGAGAAAATGTCACTGAATTTGATCCAGATCGATTTTTACCAGAAAATATCGCCAAACGACCACCGTTCAGCTACATCCCATTTTCAGGCGGTGTGCGAAATTGCATCGCAACCAAATACGCCATGATTTCAGCCAAAATTACTCTGGCCCATCTGTTGCGACGATTCAAATTCACTACTGACCTCAAATTTGAAGATATTCGCGTGAAAACTCATCTCATTCTTGAAGTGACAAACGTAAATCCGCTTCAAATCGAAGAACGAAACTTTTAAAAGAAATTAACCAACATATTAAGTTTATGTAAATTGAAATGAACAAAAATAAAATTACACTTCAAAAGAACACCAAAAGTCGCATTGTACTACGCATTGTAAGGGAGAATTCACTCATTTGCGTCCTCCTTTGCATATTTAGTGTCGAACATTTAAAGTCGAAATTTGTCGAAATTAAACATTTGTACTCCCATTGAATACCTTGAAAAGTAAATTATTTACATAACATTTTGGAGTGTGCGAACTTTTTGCATGCGATTCGGTTTAAATGGATTTTACTGGCATAGTGTGTAGAAATAATTTTTAATAAAGAACAAACCCTATTTCATGAAGATTTTTGTGATTTTATTACTTTCTTTCAGTCAGTCTCAATATAATCTGGTAAAAAGAAGTTTGTACAAGGAAAAAAAAAAGAATTTATTTATTATTTCATTCTCATCGGCTGTAGACTTTCAAATTCAATCCATTCATTGGAGCCAAAACAATGCTTCTTGGATTCAGTTTGAGTTCAATGTTTTTATGTTGATCATCTAAATCGAATTTGAATTTTCGCAACAGCAATACGATGGCGATCTTCGACTGCAGTTTACCCAATCTCATTCCTGTAATTAAATCACATTGTTAGAATATTGTGAAAAGATGTCGCAAACACCTGCACTCACCAATACAATTGCGTGATCCTAAGCCAAATACCAAGTCCGGCATTTCTTCAAAGTTTCTACTGGTTTTTTGCTGATCATAGTATCTTTCTGGTTTAAATTTTTCGGCTTCTTCATAATACTTTTCATCATATTGCAGTCCAAGTGTTGGAAAGAAAATTGAAGTGCCTTTTTCAATTATTATATCCGTGTCGGGGATATTAAAATTCTTTGTACACTTTCTGGTGCCAATTGGAAACGGTGGATGCAATCTCAATGACTCTGTAAATGTACAAAAATCAATTTTATTCCTAAACTAATATTTTTTAAGTCTATGAACACTTACCGTCAAGGCAACAATCCACATATTTCATGTCAGCAACAGCATCGTAAGTTAACTGTCCTTCGTGTTGTTCAAGAATTTTGGTGATTTCTTCATAGGCTTTTTGCTGTTTTTCTGGACTTTTTGCCAATTCGTACATGCAAAATGACATAGTACTACTCGAAGACTCAAATCCACCTCCGAAAAATAAGAATGCTTGTGCAGCTAGTTCCTCAATTGTCAATGATTTTTTATTGGAATCTGCTTTGGCTGACCAATCGTCGTCTTCTTGAACTTTTCCAGTATTTCGTAACTGCATCAGAAGTTGGAAGAAATCTTTACGAGTAACATTGTTCTTTTCTCGATATTCCAAATTCTGTCGCACGGTTTCGATCATAAAGTCGCCGATTTCTTTATCAACAAACCTCAAACCCAACCATTTTGAGACTTTTGGCATAATCACATTGATATTTGCACGTAAAATGTTTCTTAATGATGGTTTGAATATTTTCTGCCCATATTTTCGGAATTCATTTTCAGGATTTTCGATGCAATCAATATCGATTCCAAATGCAACCGAAGCAATCACATTAGTTGCAAAACGAGCAAACACATCTCGAATTTCCACGGCCTTGTTGGTGTCGGCGAACTTTCCGATGTGTTTATCAAGTGAATTTCCACAGGCGACAATCGTATCAAACATTCCCTTTAGCTTTCCTGAAATAAGCACGGTAATTCATGTTAAATGCCAAATATATTCGCATGATATATGAATGGGCAAGCGGAATGATGAAACGTGATTTTTTTGTAAAATGAAGAGCCCCTGAAAAATTTTTGCAGTAAAAGTGCCCCACAAAAAATTGTCTGAATTTGTTTTCATGTACCACTTTAAATGAAAAAAAATTTACGGGGTGATTCAAATTGCATATTTTTCGTGAGGCTCTCTTTCATACAATATTTTTTGGTTCAATTTGAATCGCCTCGTAAACAATTTTTCAGTAAAAGTGATATATGAAAACCAATTCAGACAATATTTTTGTGGGGCACTTTTACTGCAAAAAATTTTCAGGGGCTCTTCATTTTACAAACAAATTACGTTTCATTATTCCGCTTGCCCATTTATATGAATAATGAATTTTCATACCTGACGAAAATGCTGGTGTAAATTGTGTTCGCATTCTCTTCCATTTTTCACCATTTTGAAGCAAAAGGTTGTCGGCCATGGGATCGGCTTCGACATTAACTTGAAATACACGCTGATCGAAACTATGGAAATTCTTGATGCATATATCTTTGATGAGTTTTGGATCCCGAACTAAAAGACCTGGTTGGAAACCGGCATAAATTCCTAAATATGGTTCGGACGTTCCATTGTATAAATCGGCAACCACTTCACCAAACTGCTTCTTTTGCAAAAATGAGTTTGCAAAATTGCCAAATGGGAATACGGGCTCTTTGAACGGAACTCCCTTGCGTCTCCAATGATCGAAAGCACTTTTTACGTATAAATATGCGGTTACAATGAGAATCGCCAGTAGCGAAACGGCAATAAGTAATGCTGACATTCTGTCGTTTGCTAACTTGTTTCAATGTCACGGTGTTTTTTTCAACTGGTTGATTCCCATGTTATTGCGCGGTATTTATTTCGACTGAGACCGCACTCACACGCACACACAGTCGTTAGATTAGATTAGATTGAACTTGAATCAATTTTTATTGCTTGCCATCAATTTTTATAAGCCTATGCAACAAAGTCAACCGTAGAATTTTATTAAATTGCATCACAAAACAAACTAATTTCATTTCAAAAACTGAATAGTTTCTTTATTTTTGACGCACTACAGTTCAAATTAATATTCTTATCACTCGTTCGCAAACAATCCACTCGATCGAAGAATTCAGCTCTGACTGGCGAGAACATGTCACACAACGTGTGAAGTATGTGGCTAATGTGCTTGGATAATACTCGTAATGGTTACAAACATGACTTTGGTTACACACATGAGTCGTTGTGGTGATGTATCAACGATGAGTATTTGAGCGATAATTACTTCCAAAACAGCGCTGACAGTTTGAGTTGAGTATTTTTTTAATAAAATTGAGCATATTGAATATGAAACATGGCAGCACTGCTCTGGCATCGGTTAATGGATTAAACTCAACATTTTCATGTCGATGAATTGAACTAATACTATTGAAGTTACCAATTCAATTCGAAACTTTGAGCGTTCAATAATTATTTTCCAAATTATTTGACGCAGTAGCTATGCGAGTCGCGACAAGTGACACAAAATTTAAAAATAAAGACATTTTTTTGAAAATTCTGTCTTCCACTGGGATTTAGCTTCGAACTGATCAAACATTTGTTCGGCAAATGGTATATATTACGTCCAAGAATAACGAATAACAAATAATAAATACACCTAATCTCAAGCATGTATCTAACCACAATCGTATTTCAAATAATGTTTGAATGTTCTTTATAAATAATCCTACTGTGTTATCTATACTAGACATGTGGCCAACTTGATTATTGTAATCAACTTGTTTCTACCGTTTATTCTTCGTTCAATTCATTTTGTACGATTCAACGCGTCAAAAAAAAAAAAAATCGGTAAATGATATACATAAATGACCAAGAAAGTACTCATCTAAAACACGAATGATTTTGCGCATATTTCCGAATGACTTGCAAGAAATTTTATTTAAAAAAAACTCATTTCATATTTTTAATCAACAGAAATCTATTTTAAATGAAATTCAATTTTTCTCAGATTTTGCGACAGAACTTTTTCACTTTTTTTTTTTATATTAATCTTCGTTTCAATTTCATATTCCATTGATGGCCATGACGTGGATTTCGATTTAGTATTCTTTATCCCATGTACTGATTGAAGCGAGCATTTTGCCACGAAGATGGCGTGCTTGTTTGATGTCGTCAAGTGGATAGTTCAGCTCACTGGCGATCTTTTCGACTGTTGCTTTGTCCATTTTTTTCAGATTATGGCGTTTCATCACATTTCGGACCTTGTGGAAATCCAACGCAGTTGCGGTATTCTTTCTTTCGTTGCTTGTTTTTGCCTTCGGTGCCATTTTTGCGTCTTTTCAACTCACGAGAATTTATGATTTTATTTCAGTTATGGTATTAAAAGTTTTTACTTGATTTGTTCGACTTGAATGAATGCTCGAACAGAAATGAGCTTCGGATTTGATATTTAGGTTCAACGCATACTACGATTTGAGAAAAGTTTGATCCAATATCAACATAGGTAGGAAAATACTGAAATGAAAATCATAAAATCTACGTATTCAAAATAAGACTGAGTAGATCCATCTTATTTTCATGTTTAATTTTGGAAAAAGAAGAAGAAAAACAATTTAACCGTAGCAAACTATTTATGTTGTACAGACTACCAAAATTTTATCACTTTTATTTATTGTGAATGAAATTGTGGACTTTAATTTTATCGACGAGAAGCTTTCAGATTTAAACCGCCCATTGGATTCAAGACTGTGCTGGTCGGATTCATTTTAAGCTCAGTATTTTTGTGCCGTTCGTCCAGTTCGAATTTGAACTTTTGTAGCAGTAAAATGAGCGCAATCTTCGATTGTAACAGTCCTAAACGCATGCCGAGACTAAAAAAATAAAAGCTTCACTTCGATTCGTAAATTAATATTATAATCTACAAATTGTATACCAATTGCGTGGTCCTAAGCCGAATACCAAGTCCGGCATTTCTTCGAAGCTTTTGTTAGCCGTTTCGCTCTGGTTATATCGCTCTGGCTTGAATTTTCTTGGCTCTTCATAATATTTTGGATCATATTGAAGGCCAAGTGGTGATAATAATATCGTAGTTCCTTTTTCAATAACGACATTACTATCGGGAATCTTAAAGTCTTTTGTGCACTCTCTACCAGAAGTTGGGAAAGGCGGATGTAGTCGCAGTGATTCTGGAATAAGATTTTTTTTATTAAATTAAAAATAAAATATTTGGTATATTGGACAGTGTCCATGTTTCTGCAGTATCTTACCGTCAAGACATTGTCCTATGTACTTCATATCGGCCACAGCCTCGTACGTTAGATGTCCATCGTGTTTTTCAAGTACACTGACTATTTCGTCGTATACTTTTTGTTGAGTTTCTGGATGTTTGGCCAATTCATACATGCAAAACGACATTGTGGACGAACTTGACTCAAATCCACCAGCAAAGAAGAGGAATGCATGTGCTGCCATTTCTTCGATAGTGATTTCTTTTCTATCAGAAGTGGATTTGGCTGTCCAATCATCATCGTTGTCTTCAATTTTGCCAGTATTTCGCAACTGCATCAACAGTTGGAAGAAATCTTTTCGCGACACGTTATTCTGTTCTCGATACTCTATATTCTAATTAGAATTATTGGTATATCAAAATAAATAAATAATAAATTAATCATATCACATAATTAATATTATTACTTGTCGCACAGCATCAATCATAAAGTCACCAGTTTCCTTATCAGCAAATCGGATTTTGAATAATTTCGCCAAGGTTGGTGTCATAATTGCAAGGTTCAATCGTAACATATTCTTGAGGCAAGGCCGGAAAATTTCCTCTCCGTGTTTTCGGAATTCATTGTCAGGATTTTCGATGCAGTCAATATCGAGGCCGAAAGCGACCGATACGATTACATTCGTTGCGAATCGGGCAAATAATTCGCGCATTTCAACCGATTTGTCGGTATTTGCAAAACGATCGACGTATTTATCTAATGATTTTCCACAGTCAACGATCGTATTGAAAATTCCTTTTAATTTCCCGGATGTAAATGCCGGAGAAAATTGTGCACGAGCTCGTTTCCACTTTTCATCAGTCTGTAGCAGAATATTGTTAGCCATTGGATCAACATCCACATTGGCGTTGATTCCACGGTGACCGAAACTTTGAAACTCTTTAATCATAATATCTTTGATAATTTTTGGATCACGAACCAAAAGTGCGGGTTGAATCGATGTGAAAACACCAATGAATGGCTCCGCCGACTCATTGTAAATGTCTTGAAGCTCTTCGCCCAAACACTTTTTTGACATGAATGTTTTCGGGAAATTGCCAAATGGAAACGATGGTGTCTTGTAAGGAATTCCTCTGCGTTTCCAGTATGAATATGAATTTTTCACGTACAAATAGGCAGTGGCCACAAGAGTCGCGAGAAGCGATACGAAAATTAATGTCGCAGACATTTTGTTTTTTGCACACTAATATCTTAGCTGTTAAATAGCGCTGTTTGAATTTCAATTTTAAACTGATTGATTTTCTGTTCTCCCTCAGCTTTTATTTTATTTCAATGCCAATCAAAAGGCTTCGTTTATTTAAAAAAAAAAAACTAGATAAGACTTGAGTGTTTTTGAAGCTACGTAAACAGCTAAATCCATATAAATATGTATCTAATCGTTTTTGCTTTAGTCACATGAAAGTCGTTTCAAGCTTAACTAAGGACAAGATTCGTCAATAATACTTATTGGTGTTATGAAAATGTCAACCGTGTATAATATTATCACAATTCAAAAGGAATTCTTATATTTGATTTGTATACAAAACTCGAATGATTTGCGTAAATTCGAAAGTGACTTGCAAAGAAAGGAATTGTACAAGTCACACATTTTCGCCGTGTAGTTTTTTCCGTTTGATTCAGGGATGATCAACATTCGTGTTGATAAGAAGAAGTTGTTTGAGTGCTTATTTTGACGCCCATCCTATCGCAGTCGTATATTTCTTATCAACTTCCACTTGAAATCGCTCAATTCAAGTATAAACTTGCTTTCATCTGCTAATTTAAGACATTCTAAAGTATCACATATATGTGCTATAGCATGGACGTCATCAGCTGATAAAGGTCGTTTTCAACGATTGCAAGACAATTCACTCAAAACAAAGATGAGTCAAAAAAGTTCTGACTGGCAGGAAAATAATGCATGTCATGATGAATATTCCCAATTTCAAAAATCTCACTCAAATCAGAAATGATTTCGCTAAAATATCAAATGACTGGCAAGATATTGTTCAAGTCATGCCTCGTCCTGCTCCAAAATCAACTCAAGCTGGCAATAGAAAAGCAAAGCGAGTCTTGAGTTTTTATTTCTATCATCTCGTTTCAAGTGGGGAGTCAAAAGTTTGTCAAATCCTGAACCTGAGATCATTTTTGTGCGGCCATCCAAAATTCTGTTTCGATAAGAACCTCTTCAGTTTGTTGTGTTTCCTCTTCAAGGACTGAAAACATAACCGGTATTCCTTTTTCGATGACCACATTCGTGTTTGCCACTTTATAATCTTGTGTGCACTCTCTTGTGATGAATTCAAATGGTGCATGCATTCTAAGTGTCTCTGTAACAGAAAAATATGCGAACTATATTGGTATGCAATTGCTAGGCTGATTCAATCACTTTGTTTTCACTCCTACTATACACGTCACATTATTGGTTAAGAGCTTTCTATTGGCTACTATTTAGATGATCCGTCCAATTTCGATATCATGTTTCTAAAAATAGAATATCATATGTGTGCTGTATCAATAATCTGGTAGAAATCAACATGAAGTTGCATTATCTCAATTATTTTTTACTATAAAAATTTTATAGTAATAATTTAAATTGCAAATTTTTCTTCCAACAAACCTGCGCAATAAAAGATGTTGAAATGGTTGGATGCAACAATGATATCATAGAAAATTTATTGCATCGTTTTATTTCTTCAATCATGTAATTTTCTTACGAATTCTTGAAATAGCAAATGTTCCCTGCCATTGTAAAGTTTCTTCGATAAAAAGGCAATGCGGAAACTTCGATAAGAACCTCTTCAGTTGGTCGTTGTATTTCGCATAGATTTTTATTATTGCTTAAGCTAAACTTATGTTGACACGTTTTCCTTTATTTTTGTTGCTTTTTTTTCAATAGCGTTCCAACAGAAAAGATCCATATCATATTTCTAATCAAATGATAAATTCCAACTGGAAATGGTCGTGTTTTAGAGCAAATTCGTTTGCAGATACTTTCAAAATAAATTTTTATTCAAACACGTCACATGAATTCAAAACCCTGACATTGAAATAGTCAAATTTATAAAGCTCAGCTGTTTGTTTGCATGTTTGAGTCAAACTATTCCACTCAAAGCTGACGTAATATCAATGAAACATTTGTGTAAGTCTAGGTGTGAGTATATAAAACAAACATACTATGGTATGCATATGCATACTCCCATACAAATTCAAGCTGATTGAATTATTATTATTGTCATTATGTTAATGCGTCTCAAAAGTTGTATTTTATTCATCGGCGAGAAACGATCAAATTAACTCCATGCAGTGGCGTAAGAGCAATGCTAGCTGGATTTAGCTTTAGTTCGGTGTTTTTGTGTTGATCGTCCAACTCGAATTTGAATTTTCGCAGCAGTAAAATGATGGCGATTCTCGGTTGTATTTTGCCAAAGCGAATGCCGAGACAGCTGCGAGGACCCTCTCCAAACACCATCCCTGGCATCTCGACAAAACTTTTGCTCGATTGCGACTCACTGTATCGCTCTGGGATAAATTCGTCTGGTTGATCATAATACTTTGGATCATATTGAAGCCCAATAGCAGAAAACAGTAAAGTAGTTCCTTCGTCAATGATTACATCGGTATCGGGAATTTTGTATGCTTTTGAGCACATTCGAGATGTGACCGGAAACGGTGGATGCAGCCTCAATGTTTCTGAAATAATAATAAATATGAAGCAAACGTAAATTATTTTCCAAACTTGATTGAAATCAAACACACGACACATTGTCGCCCTTATCAATGACGTACCGTCAACACAACTTCCCATATATTTCATATCAGCAATTGCATCATAGGTGAGTTTACCGTCATGTTTTTTGAGAACCTCAACAATTTCCTCATATGCCTTTTGTTGTTTGTCCGGATGTTTGGCCAACTCATACATGCAAAACGACATTGTGGACGAGCTCGACTCGAATCCACCGGCGAAAAATAGGAACGCTTGTGCTGTCATTTCATCAAGAGTCAACGATTTTGCATCATTCGTTGTTTTTGTCTCCCAATCACCGTCGTCTTGTACCTTTCCCGTATTTCGCAACTGCATCAACAGTTGGAAAAAATCTTTTCGTGACACGTTATTCTGTTCGCGATATAGCAAATTTTGTTGAACAGTATCTCTCATGAAATTCCCAACCTCTTTGTCGGCAAATCGGATTCGAAACAATTTCGCGAGTGTGGGTGACATGAATGATAGATTGAAACGAAGCGTATTCTTGAGAGTGGGTTCGAAAAATTTTTGCCCATATTTTCGAAATTCACAATCCGGATTCTCAATGCAGTCAACGTCAATGCCAAATGCAACCGATGCAATGACATTTATTGCGAACCGAGAAAACACTTCACGTATTTCAATTGATTTGCCGGTGTCGGCAAAACGGTCAATGTATTTGTCCAATGATTTACCACAATCGATCATCGTTTCGAACATCGCTTTTATTTTGCCCGTAGAAAATGCTGGAGTAAATTTAGATCGCATACTCTTCCATTTATCGCCACGTTGCAAAAGAATGTTATCTGCCATTGGATCAATGTCGACATTTGCTTGCCATCCGCGATGACTGAAACTCTGGAAATCTTTTATGAAAATGTCTTTGATAATACTCGGGTCACGTATCAAGAGAGCTGGTTGAAACGTGATGAATACACCTTGAAATGGTTCAGTGGTTTGGTTATACAAATCGGCCAGTTCTTCGCCAAAACATTTCTTCTTTAAAAATGCATTCGAAAAATTTCCGAATGGAAACGATGGAGATTTATAGGGAACACCACGACGTTTCCAATATGCGAACGCATTTTATACGTACAAAATCGCACTCACGGCTAAAATCACAAAAACTGATACAATTATTACGATCGCAGACATTTTTGTTAAAATTTGACTCAACTCATTGAATTTCCGAAATAAACTAATAAATTGCATGATTTTGCGTCGAAGTTTTGGTTGAAGATACCAGTTAATCGCAAATGTACAGCGCTTCAGAGTTCTATACACACAAAGAGACGAAGTCTTCAAGCATGAATGCGAACAATACCTAAGCTTTCACGTGTATATACACAATACGAAGACACATTATTTGAACAGCTCTGCGCTGTTACATCATTTCTCATTGATTATTCGACGTTTTAATTGCATATAATGTGGAAGTTTGTTGTCTGTTGATTTGGCAATCAAAAAAACGAGTTTGTTTGATAGCTGTGCGATTTTGACAATCGGAGAATTGAGTAGAGTTTTTTGGATTCATTATTATCAACAAAAAATGGTGAAGTGAGTAATTTTTCACAAAATTGACTCAAAACAAAAATGATCGGCAATTGATCATGCTTCAGGTAACTCACAATGCGTTAGAGTTTTGCTCAATTTGGAGAAATTGAACTAAATTTGCGATAAATTTGTTTTAAATCAAATCTTTCAAATGCTCTTTTCATCTCAAATGAACATGGCAAATAATTTTTTTGTAGAAAACAAGGTTAATTTCTAAGGTGCGATTTTTTTTTCAGCAAAAAGTTGGCGCCAATAATTGAAGTATGTGAAGCGACACTTCAGAAGACCGATCATGCGTGGTATGGTATTCATTCTGCCTTTGATGCACTGAATGACGTTCTCTTATTGTTTCGGTTGCATTTCCTTTTTTAAACGGTGATCCCTCTTGACGTTCTTTCAGTCGTTTGCTCTTCGTTTCCTCTCGAAAAATGCTCGTTGACAGTCTCTTTGCGACATTATTTCTATAGCGATGCTTCCTCATGCGATTCTTCGCAAGCCACCGTTTTTGCTCAACTGATCGCTTTTTTACTTTTGACATTTTGATGACAAGTTGTCATTTACAACACAGTTTAATTTGTACACAACACACTCGCTCAATCTGATGATGGTGACCGAAATGAAAAACAAATGTCCTGGATCAAAGTTTAAGGGAAATTTAATCGGGTTTTCGGTTGGCTTTTCACTATGAAATAAATTGATTCAAAACTTTCATTTTTCCTTCAATTTTGTACGTTTTCTTCTTAACAATTCAACTATGAGGGCACTTTGAGATTGATCGATGTTTTCTTGTTAAATGAACTTATTCTCTGCGATGGTTTAGTCAAACTGAGGAGCAACGCATCTGGAGACTTGCAATTCATTTACTTTTTGGAAATGCAGTTTTTATGTTTAAAAAAAAAAAACAAAAAAAAGCCATAGCGTCTATTTTTTATAGCCTTTTTCGTATGGTTACACACTCATTCATACCATTAGTACATTATTGTTGAGAGAGAGAAAAAACAAAACAAAAAAAGAACTCTGTGTCCAACATTTTTTGACCTAAGTTAAGCCGCAATATCAACTTAAAATATTCAAAAAAACATTTGAAGTGAGAAAGGAGAAAGGAAAC